GACGTGGAACCTTTTTTGAGCATTGCCATTGCCATCTTCTTCTTCCCGTTGGCTTTCCTCCGAGGTTTCTTGTCTTCGGAGAAAGAGGAGTCTTTTGGCTTGCTTGACTCCAAATAAGAGGAAGACTCGCTAGATGAAGGCGTTGTTGCTCTTCGCTTTCGCCAACTACTTTTGGGTTTTTGCTCGTTGAATGGCCGATCCTTCCGGCGTCTGTTCAACGTGGATGTCTCGAAGGCTTGAGCCGAAATAATCACATCGTCAATCGTGTCACACTAACTTCAACGGCAATACGTCTCCATTTCTCACGGCAAGCCAGACCGCTAGTAGTTTAGCCGGTTGCAAACGACAAAATTTCCTCAAAGCCAACATCAGGAGTTTACGGTAAGCCTTATTGTCCTCCCATAGCTGCTGAAAGGAAACGTTCGGCCTTTGTGCGCCGATGTCCCTCACAATGTCGTAGTGAGGGTTGGTGGCGGTTACCTCAACCTTCCGTTGCTTACCTACATCAAGGAGTATTACACTGGAGCTAGGGTCGGCTTCAGATTGCCTCGGTGCTTTCGGCGACTTATTTCGTAGAGCCTCCTTCAGTAGTTTGGAGACCTCATCCTTAATATCAAGGTCGTACTTCTTGCAAAGAAGCTTCGTCCGAGTTCGACCCTAAGCAGTCTAACGACTCCCGCTCTTCTTCTGCTACACGCGCCCTTGTGTGAGCACAAAACTGTGCTCGCATGTCTTTTTACCCTTATGAGAGTTAAAATTTTGGATTTAAGCTCTTGCAAAATTATGCTTGGGGTTTTCTGAAAGTTTCTGCAAGATTAGGAGTTGGTGTGATGGTTAGGGGGCAAGAGGTGCGGAAGGAGGCCTTCGGGGCAAGGTCTTCGGCGAAGTGCCTTCGGTGAAGTCCCTTCGGGAAAAGGCCTTCGGCGAAGAAGTGAAACTTTCATAACGTTTTCAATGTGTGACGCCTTGACTCAGTTAGGGTCTTGTTGGAAAGAGCTCGCGACGCTCGTTCCAACAAGGCCAAGAACTCTTGAAACAGATAAGGCATCACCGAGTTAGGAGCGGCGGAAGTTTCTGATATGGAGGGCCTTCGGCGGGTTGCGCGTAGGCGGCCTGCGCATAGGCGGGTTGCGCGTAGGCGGCCTGTGCATAGGCAAACGCCTTCGGCGGAAGGGTAAAACGGTGATAACGTTTTCAATTGTTAACGGTTTGCGTTGGTTAGGATCTCGTTGGAAAGGGCTCGATACGCTCGTTCTAACAAGCCCAAGAACGCTTGAAACGAATGAGGACTAAGGGAGTTATGACTATCGGAAGATACGTAGACGTTCGCCTTCGGCGGAAGGAGTTCGCCTCCGCCGGGGATTCCGCATACGTAGAAGGGAGTTCGAGTTTTGTCCTATGCGCGGACGAACGCCTTCGGCGGTTGCAGGCCTTTGGCGAAGCAATAAAACCGACATATCTTTTTCAATTCTTAGCGGTTTGACTTGATTTAGGTCTCGTTGGAAAGAACTCGACGCGCTGGTTCCAACGAGACCAAGATCTCTTGAAACGGATCAGTCATCATTGAGTTATCAGCGTCGAAAGCGGCTGTCATGGTTAGACGAGGGGCCTTCGGCGTTAACAGTTAGAGGGGCCTTCGGCCCAAGGCGGCCTGCGCGTAGGCGGCCTGCGCATAGGCGGGTTGCGTGTAGGACGCCTGTGCATAGGCAAACGCCTTTGGCGGAAGAGTAAAACCGTCATAACTTTCTCAATTCTTATTGGTTTGACTTAGTTAGGGGCTTGTTGGAAAGAGCTCAATACGCTCGTTCCAACGAGCCCAAGAACGTTTCAAACAAAGCAGGGATCTGTGAGTTATGAGCGTCGGGGGTGACTGTTATAGATAGGCAAAGGTGCGGAAGAGTGTATTCGGCGGGGGATGCCTTCGGCGGTGTGCGGAAGAAGATTTCGGACGGAGGATGTTGACGTGGTCATAAATAAAGACTGTACATGTGTGGCAGTGGCGGCGGCGTGAAGTCAGGCGTGGAAATAGGACGGCGGGGCATGAAGTCGCACATGGGAATCAGGCCGTTGCCCATCATCGCGGGAACGGCATTCACGCGGGCTGTGGGTGACTCGGCCCTTGGACGTTGGAGAGGATTATTCGGCCTGCGAGCTGGAATTGTGTGGTGTGCCATGGTGTGGAGACGCTGGTGGGATCGGTAGGAGTAATAGAGTGTGGACGTGAGTGATTTTCGCAGGGAAGTGGTGAGAATTAGGAGGGGAGTGTGGAGAGTTCGAAGTAGGAGAAAGCAACCTCTCGTGGGTGGAGAGTCGTATCAGAGAGTGAAATTAGATTGGGATCCGAGATTAAAGTGTAATCTGTGAGTGGGATCTGAGATTGAAGTGTAATCTGTGAGTGGGATCTGAGATTGAAGTGTAATCTGTGAGTGGGAGCTGAGATCAGAGTGGAAGACCTGAGAATGGAAGCTGTGAGTGAAGCGAAATCTGAGACTGAAATCTAACAGTCGGGATCTGAATTTGGAACTGAAAAGGGAGAGTGGAATCTTAGAGAGAAATCTGGTGGGGTCTGAAGGTGGAAGCTGAGAAATTGACACTGAAATTTGAGTAGGAATTGGGAGTGGAACTCGGAGCTAGGATAAACCACAGCGGCTGTGGTATTGAGAAAGTCACCCAGAGTTGGGTTAGATCTTTATGTAACAAAGAGCTTGTCTGCTGCTCTTGTGGAGATAGCAGACAGCAAGTTATTATTTTCAGTTGTATATAATTTGTCTGTGAAAGAGCAAGTGTTTATGATCTCATTGTCTTGAATACACTTTGACCACATGGTTGAGATCAGAGAAGTTAGATTATGGGAGCTCGAACCCCCACCTGGACTACAAACGCTGAAGGGTGGGGAGTTTAGGCTCACACCTTGGAACCGGAGAATCCGGTTTCCTGTTCCTCCGTTCTTTCAGGCTACTCTTGGCCTCCTGAGCCGCACAGGAGTCAACCCGCTTTACCTTCTTAGAGGACTCTCGGATTGCCTCCTTACGACGCGTCAAACTTCAGGTTTCCACCTTCCCCACCATCACCTCATCGTCCGGCCAGGCCTCATTGGGATGTACTTTCTCCCGACTCACGGTCACCTGATTAACTTGTACGTCATCCTTACCGGGCGGATACACGAAACGAACCGTCAGTCAAGGTGCTGTCTGCTGGTCGCATTTGGCTGCTGTGTGGCTTGGCTTCCAAAATTTGCTGCACAAAGGACCATATCCCATCTGTCGTTGAGGGTGAGGACATTGGCAAGAGTAATGCCCTATGCCTTCGCAATTGTAACATGTGTTCGGAGCCAGTCTCTGTATAGCCTTGTAGGCCTTCTTCCGCTTCAACTGAATGTGCTCCGTCCGTTTCACGGCTTCCTACCTTCTTTCTTCCAATGCCATCACTTCCTGCAACCGAAAAGTTGACTCTCCTCCACTCCGAGTCTACGCTGGTCCAAAATACGGTGGGTAGGCACCTCGAACTCAATAGGTAATATCGGATGTTGTTCGTAAACCAGGAAATAAGGCGTATGTTTTGTGGTTACCTTCTCCGTTGTTCGATACGCCCATAAGGCGGTAGTTTAGTCGGTCGCAAACAACAAAATTTCCTCATAGCCAACATCAGGAGTTTACGGTAAGCCTTATTGTCCTCCCTTAGCTGCTAAAGGTAACGTTCGGTCTTTGTGCGCCGATCTCCCTCACAATGTTGTAGTGAGGGCTGGTGTCGGTTACCTCAACCTTCCGTTGCTTACCTACGTCAGGGGGTATTCCAGTGGAGCTAGGGTCGGCTTCAGACTGCCTCGGTGCTTTCAGTGACTTATTTCGTAGAGCCTCCTTCAGTAGTTCGGAGACCTCATCCTTAATATTCGGGTCGTACTTCCTACGAAGAAGCTTCACCGGGGCCTCGTCCGAGTTTGACCCTAAGCGGTTTGACGACTCTCGCTCTTCTTCTGCTACACTCGCCCTCGGGTAGCTTCGTATCCCAATCGTGAGCGTAATTCACAGTCAACTTGAGTAGGATTTTGCACAAGAACCCATTTGACTTCTCCGTCAGCCCATTAGCTTTCGGGTTATACGGGGTGGTTTTCCTATGTTTGAGGTGGAAGTAGAAGGTCAGATACTCAATCACCTTATTGAGGAAGTAATTCCCTTCATCACAATTCTGTATGTCATTTTTTTGAGGTTTTAGATTATATTGAGCTATAACAGTTAACCTTTGCTAGAGTCCATGATAAAATTTCAAATCACTCTCCTAGAAGCAACACCTTTTACAACTCACTTGACAATTGAATACGAATTAGCAATTACAAATATGTGCTGGAGTCCATATATGAAATCAATAAACTCAATGCATTATTTTTTTATTTGGTGGTGTCAATAGATGTGAGAAGAGTCTTCTCTTTAACTTCATCATAAATAATCTCAATTTAGCTTTGTGATTTGTTCCGTTTGTCTCATCTTCATGATCAAGTCACTTGCAAGTTCGAGCTCTTCCACTCGAATCATGATTTTGCTGAGTTTCTCTATGATATCAAATAGCAACGAGTCATTTAGGAGTGTTCATATAAGGTTCCTTTGACATTACACTCAAATCAAACTATTAGGAAGTCAATTTTCTTAAGTACGCACCTCCCGGTTAAGTACACACAGCACTCCCGGGATTCAAAGTGCGTACTTAACCGGGAGACTACTGTATTGGGAGGTTATACTCTTGTGATGGACAGCTCCCAATAGTAAATTAAAACCCTAGCACGAATGTATGTCACTATTGGGAGATTTAGCTCTGAAACAAGGTACCACCAATATCAATAACCATATGGTAAATGGTTAATGGACATAGATGCCCATGTTCCACTTTCCGATTGCCGATCCACCTGTAAACATACGCCTCGGCACTTGTTGTACTCGTTGCCGTAAAGCTATTAGAGTTATCGCTACTTGTTGAGAAGGTGGTCTCTAATCATCGGAACTGCATTCGAGAACCTTTGACGACGTTCTCGACTTCTGGAACCGTGCAGGGGGACGATTTGCTGATCTGATTATTCGTTGTTTAGAGTTGTTCCTTTTCAGACGGCCGTCTGCAAGTTGAAGCTGCTAAGCTGGTTCTGTGTCAGTCCCGGGATCTGATCTTTGGTTAGAACGTTTCCGTTTCTGTTTCCTCGCCGTGAAATCAGTTGTCCAGTTTACTTCTTCCAAGATGGACAGAAAGTCGTGCTGCGTTCCGTCTTCTGCGTTGTGGAAAGCAGAAGACGGGACATCTTCACGACAGGCACCGTGGACATCGCGCAATCCGGAAAGGAGAAATCGCTTCGTTGATGAAGTTGAGTTGTTGGTCTCTTGTCTTCTGCTGTTCTGACCTCCAAACTTTTCTTGCTCTTCTGAAGTCGCCATCGTCAGTCTTTTTTCCTTGATGAGTCTGTCCAAAACAAGTTTGCAAGAAAGCTTTTCTGACCTGTCCTTTGAATGATCGTTGGTGACCGGCCTACAAGAAGAATCTCCCGAATTATCCTCGTCGATGGCACAGACGATCGTTTCCTTTCTAACAAGATCCACAGTCTCAGACTTGATCGTGCTTGTTACCGTTCTTTCTTTGACCTCTCGTCGGATTTGGCTTCGTTCCCATACGTTCTCCATGCTGCCCATTGAGTCCCTGCTGTAAAGCTTTTGATCCGAACCCGAAGCACAGTCTTCAATTTTCACTTCAGAACTAGCTGGGTGATTGTTCGCCTAAATTTCCATCGTATGAGTTATTGAGGTGCAGTCCTGCCTGGAAAAAGAGCTGTCTTGCCGTTCCCGATACCTCTGTCATGATCTTCTTCCCATCCAAATCCACTCTCTTTAAAATTTGGAGAATCTCCGATACTGCTCTGACGATGGCAATATCTTGAGAATAATCTTACAGCAAGTCTTCTCCTCCAAAATGCCAGCACAAATGCACACTACTTGTTTTCCGTCTTGATGTGCTCGCGGGCACCCACCCCTAAATCTTCTCTCGTCCTTAAAAAATGCATACACTTCACGTCGCAAGCAGTTCTCGCTTCCTTTTGTTATAGAGATTCCCGTGTTTCTTTAGTTGACTCCTGCTGTCATCGCTGGAAGAACTCTTGCTGACCTTCGGATGAGAAGAATATGGTGGTACAGACAAATACAATGATTCTGAGTTTTACTCCGGAGTAAAACGTTGGGGATCGTTGAATTAGAAACATGTAGCTTAGCCGAACTCAACATTTTCAATAAAAGTGGGAAGTTTCTAACTATGATCTTTTGGAACTAACTTGACTTGCGATGATTGATGGATGTAGGTCAGTTTATCTCAATCTTCGCTATCTGTGATCGACGAGACAAAATAAGTACACCTTCATATGAGGTGACGTGCACAATAAAATTTTCTTACCTCACTGCCTGGGCTAGGTTAGATTGAGGCAAGACTTCAAAATTGGTTGTCAGAACACGTCCAAAGGGAAACCTGGAGTTAAACACGTATTGTCGCCTATTGATCATTCATGAATGCCGTCATGCGCACACTTCACGTTATCAGGTAGAACGATTTTGCGGAGAGATACCTGAGAGAACCGCTTTAATTCTCGTCTTCGTGCGATCCTGGTCCTCTTATGAACTGCTCCCACTCTTTATTTACCATCTGGTTCCTCCCCTGACTAGATCAAGGATGAAAAAGATAGCCAAAACTTGGTTGAAATTGGTATAGAACTTCTTCTGGTGTGCGTGGAGCTCACGCACACCAAACTGTTAGAATAATTTAAGATGCCCGCCTGAGGCTGAATCATATATGAATAATCTGAAGTGGTTTGTCCTGACTAGTGTGAAGACAGGACTCGGGCAAACTCGGGCTTTATGGGTTCAAGTTCACCTTTATCGGTGAAGAATTGCTAAATGTATGTGAAGATCGACAGTCTTTAGATCCGCAAACCAACTTGGCAGTCAACAGAGGAGCTTGGTCATACTTTTAGAAACACGGGTTCGATTTATTTACTCTCCATAGAGTGTATCGAATCGAATGATGGTGCCGCTGCTTTCAAGGATTTGACTTACGTATCATCTGCCTCTTTTCCATCCAGTCTTTAATGGGCTCCCTCGCAAGTCTCGCGAGGAGGATCAGATGCTCACACACCTCCAGCAACATCTTAGCTCTCATGGCAGCGAGTTTCTCGTAGTAAACACTGCAGCGAAATTGTAGAGAAAGTTTTACATGAAACTTCGGAGTGAAAGGACCCATATTATACTCGCCTGGAAGAGGAATTGCAGTATAAAATATTGTACACCTATAATAGATCTCACTGGTATCGCTAGCTTTGCAATAAAGATAGACCTTAATGGTCTAATTTCACAAACGTGAGCGTCGTCTTGTGTTGATATACTAGCATTCTCAAAATAATAGCAGGGCCGGTCAGACCTTGATTGTGTATGAAGATTCCAACGCACTTGACATCAACTTCTAAGACAATTGATAGCGTCGTTCAGAAATCTTAGTGCAGTTGTCTGTAGTCAGATCTAGAGGTTCTGGTATGTATCGATTATGATCAAGTTCATTGGCTTAAAACTAAACATTAATTACATTATTGTGGATCCTCAATAGTATTGCTACAATTTCAAAGCTTTTTTTGCTTACTCCAAATGACCTTCACGATATTCTCACATCTAGTCATAGAGGCAGTCTGCAGTCTATTTTGTTCCACTCTAAATGGACCAAAACACTATCATCCAACGAGATTACTTAACATTATCCAATATTTTTTGTTGTGAGTGGTGGATCCAATCAATACGTCGAACATATTCTAATCAGTCCGACTTATTTCACGATATTTACAGCTTGTCCACAATCTCTAAAGATTATGGAGAAGTAATATATAGACGAAAACCCTTACCTTCAAGTTGTTGGAGTTTAGCGTAATTCATAGTTCCGGCATGGTAAGTAGTGTTGAGGTAGATTTTGAACAAAAAGTAAAAAGCTAGAAAAGGGAGAGAGGTGTATTACCACATGGTGCAAATACGTGGATAGATGAAAAGAAGGGATGGCGCCTAAGTTATATGGAAAGCCACCCGAGTAGGGTGCAGGGATTAGAGTAACTAGAGCTAGAGATGTGCAACCAACCCTAAAATTGAAGAAGTTCCAATCATTCTTTGTATGATATACTAGCTTGAGCGCATTTCTCTCATCTCTCATTTATCTCAATACAAGTCTATCCTTTTGTTTGACGATATTGGATATTGACGAAAACAGCCAGATTTTAAAGAAACAAGACTACTAAAATTATTATAATGAATCTCATTGGAATCATTTTCAAGCACTTAGAAAGTGAATTTAGTTTACTAGCTTAGCTTCATCATCTAAGCTAGTTTCACTTTCAGAAAGCGATTCTATGTGAAAGTGAAACTACTATATATTGTGAGCACCAGAACATAGTCCGTACAAAGTACAAAATGATTCATGAAACTGGCTTGGAATTTGTCACCTTCTTCTGAGTATGATTTTAAGTGCCGTAGCCATCCAATAAATTCTTATTTCTTTTGTCACTTTTAAGTGCGCTAAGATCCTATTATACAAAACAAAGACAACCTGGACAATCTAAATTGATTGGAATTCTTGCATGTTTTACTTCAAACTATTGACTTCCAATTTGTGTTTCTTTCATTTTTCAAATCAGCCTTTTTAATGTTGGCCAAAGACAAACACGAAGACACTTGCAAGTAAGAGGCATCAACTTTTATTAAAGACAATGATATTGCGAGAAGATAACTACTTGCAAAGAAGTAGTGTTAAAATTTACAATAGCTTGTACTTAAGGCATTGTGAATAGTGTTAAGGTAGATTAAAAAAGAAGAAGAGGTATATGATCATACGTCGCACATATGGCATGGATAGATATATAAATAAAATAAAAGCTAAGTCATAAGGATGGCAACTAGATTAAAGCAAGAATTTAGGATTTGAAATCATTTCAAATTGTACACAAAGTATCATAAGTAAAGGCTCTTGCCCATATCTCATTCCATTTTTTCTTTGTATTCTACACTAATTTCAGCAACTATCTCTTCACTTCAATCTCAACAAAACTTAATGTTGCATGAAGATGTGATTCTTTCATAATTCTTCAAACTACTGCCATTCTTTTCTTGGATATTGAAGACTCCATATTTTTCATCAGCATCAAGCTTAAAGTGAAGATTCACATGATTGATCTTGGAAAATTGAAATATATTGCTTCATAGTGAAATTTGAAGTGGACCACAAGACACTCATTATCATCATGAATTAAAGAAAGTACATCAAAGAGGTGCTAAAATGTTTCAAAATGGAGCATTGCAAGCACCTAAGATTGCCATTTGATGTGAATGTCAAGATATTGAAGCTTTTGATGGAGGAGTTTGAAATCATATAAGGTGTAATAGAGACAATGTCATTCAAGCCGTGCATTTGATTATTAATGTATGTCATGATGATCACATGTTTAGACCTTGCGCTTGAAGTAAGCATGGTCAAGCCTACCTAAATACGAAATCAGTCAATGAAGTTCCTTATATTGCGTATCTGATTTTCAAGAAGTTCCGTATTTAAAATTATTATGTTTTCTTCATCTATGTGGCGTAACTAGAGAGTGATAAAATTTCAACATTCTAGTTTTGTCACACCATTTCCGACTGTTAAAAGCTCTTAAATAATTTGCACTTGCATCATTATTTATTTTACCTACAATTTTGATAATTTGTTGATTGAAGTCACGAGGTGCACAATTTTTTTAAGTTTAGCATAAAGAAGTAAATTTGAAGTATATTGGCTGAAGAACATATACATATAGGTTCATAGTCGTAGAAATTAGGAGATCTAATGGAAATTGGGTAACTAGAAGTAAGTAGGTTGGAATTTGCTTTCGGCCGAAGATCTTTGGATTTTCAGACCTTCGGCCCAGACATCTTTGGCGATGCTATAGTTGGACCTTCGGCGAAGACGACTTGTCACAATTCAAATTTCATGAAGATCGGACAAGAACCTATCGCATTGCAAGTGCCAATTCGCGCGCCTGTGAAGACCGTTAGGGCGTTGAGGGTAAGGACACGAAGCGGGCACTTTGCGCCGACATTGTGTGAGAGAGAGAGACTTACAATCAGGATCATCGCAGAATACACGGCAACACACATGACACAGCCTAAGAAAGTCGATGTACTGAAGTTGATTCCGCTAAGGATGCTTGATGTCGAATTGCGGAAGTATAGTCGAGAGTTAATCAAGACGCGCCTCAATTTTCTGCTCTGGGATTGGAATTGCGTGTCGGCGACAATCTGCTAGGAGATGATGAACAAGAATCGGAACAAGGGCACTGACTTCCGAGGCAATCCGCTACCATGGACGATCGAACATTGGACGCGCGTCTTAGAACCATGCGCGGGCAAGGAAGGCGATTACACTTTCGAGAAGGAGAGCGTGAAAGTGACGCGAGCTAAAGAGTTTACATTCGCGTCGCTTTTCAAGAATCCTCAATCGAGCACGAACAGTTGGCAAACTATGGAGTATTGTGACCCAAAGAGGCGTGCGATGGCAATAGCAGTGATGCACATTTTATGACCGCAGAGAAGGACCTATGTCACAGTGTGGCAAGTAGGAGTTATCAAACGTGTAGTGCGAGGGAAGGCAATTCACTGGCCAAATATCTTCTACGATCTGGTTTGGATCAACGTTAGTAATACATGGCGCGGAGGTTTGATCAATCATATGACACCCTTCTTGGTGAACTTCTATTGCGGGATGGGACTATTGACAAAGAACGAAGAGAGTCGATTTCCCAAGGAAAGGAAGATCTTGAAGCTGGACACAGATGAAGGCACTGAGGAAGAATACGTCACTCAAGCTAAAGAGATTACTCGAGGAGCAGCACGAGGACCGGTTCGAGTGAAAATAATCACGATAGAAGAAGTTTCTGAGCGGCGTCCGGCAAAGAGGTAGAAGATAGCCGAAGCTAGCGGCAAAGGCCGAAGACCGGAAGCACAAATGGATAGATGTAACGCGGTTGAGAACGCCAAAGAGACGCGCTAGACCGAAGAAGAAAGCAAATCGCAAGATGGTAGTATTCGAGACTTCGGAGTGTAGTGTAGCCATGACCGAGGGAACCGCATCTACCACATATGAGGATACAAGGAAAGAGGTGAATCTTTGGACTACACAGGCAGGACCTTTGGGGATCCAATATGAGGATCCTATGGAAAAGGAAGTGGAACCTTCGAAGAAGAGGACGGCGACAACAAGTCAAGGTCTTCAGCCTTTGGAGAGGAAGCAACCATCTTTGGAGAAGAATAAGAAGGAAGACGTGCTAGAGCGAAAGACGAGCAAAGAGCATGCAAAGGTAGCAGAAAGAATTGCGAGCTTGACTTCTATGTGCGCGACCATGACACTTACTTTGCAGGAGCGTGAAGAGCAACTTCGGGCAAAGGAAATGAAGTGTGAAATCCTTCGGTTGAATCTAGCCAAGGAGAAGGAGCTTAGGGCAAAAGAGGAACTGAGAACCAAAGATCCTTGGCGAGAGATTGCAGCGATGAAGACCAAGAGAATGGAATTTCAGGGAAGGATTGGAGCACGCATTGAATCCCACAACAAATTGTTGCAATGCGCAAATGAGCTTATGGCGAGTTTGGCGGAGCTGACAAAGAAGCATGAGGCCAAATTGGCTAGTTGGGTGCATATATTGACGGATTGCAAAACGGCCAAGTCTTTGGAGGTCGAATGTAGAGTAAAATTGAATGTACTGAAGTCAAATAGATGTCATTTTTTTCAGATTGAAAGAGTCAAATAGAGATTGTTTTATTCATATCAAAGACACAATACAAAATTACTAGTCAAAACACTAATGAATGTATTTAGCTTTGCAAGCTTTTAAGTGAGATTAATTGTGTTCGGATAGATGCATTGATCATCATGTGTAAATGGTAATGGTAAATGGTAAATGGTGTAAATGGTGTGATTATCAAATATGCTTTGCACAAGCAAAAAATATCACAAATCATATTTGCACAAAACACATTGATGTTCAACATTATTTTATTTGTTTGAAGTTGGCTAGTGACAAGATAAGCTTGAAATATTATAAGATGAAAGACATGAAGGCAAATATGTTGACAAAATCACTTGCAAGAAAGAGGCATTAACATCTTTCAAAGTCTATGAGATTGCAAAAAGAAAACTATTTGCAAAGTGAAAATGTTGGAGTGAATAATGATTTATGATTACAACATTGTAAATAATGTTAAGATTGATATAAAATAGCAAGTAAATCTTTTCAAAAAAGAAATATCCATACATA